GGGGGAGCCAAAAACTTTTGTTACGGGAAGGCTTTTCAAGTCTTAAAATAATGCATTGTAATTTTGAAAATTTATTTTTATATCATAAATTAAAATAATACTCGATAAGTTTTCATGTTATAAAACTTATTTGTAATAGAATTTAGACTAAATGACTAACTTATTTCATTTTCAATATAAATAATTAAAAAGTTTGAAAGGAATTCATTTTTCATTTTGTTGTAAAATTTTGTTTTCACAATTTACATTATAGAAAATGCTCTTTTTGTTGTTGTTGTAATTCTATTCCACTAGTCATTTTCATGTTTATTTCAATTTCAAATTTGAATAGAAGATCTAAAATTTAAAATTTTAATAATAATAATAACTAATTAATTATATATATATTTCAAATCCCAGGGGGGCCCACCGCCCCCCTGGTCTATATATAGCTCCGCCCCTGACCGCAGGGGAATCTAATGCGTTCCTACCAGGTTAGGTTCCACCAGCAGCAGGTGGAGAGGAGTTCATATCCGGCAAGGTAATTAAGCATCTTGAGGAATGCTAGCTGCACTCGCCTTTCTCCAGCATTCTCCAACACTCTCTCATGTAAAATGTCCACGTAACAAACTTTGGCTCGCAATTCAAAGTTTCCAACTAGAAAAGCTCACGTGGCTATTTTAGATGAAGGAGTGTTGGAGAGTGCTGGAGAAAGGCGAGTGCAGCTAGCATTCCTCTAAGCATCTTACCCCGTCATCTCCACTGGCTTCGTTTCGGTGAGTCCTAAAATCATTAAATCTTTTAGCACTTTTTTAAGGAGATGTTTGGAATATAATAACAATTCAGATGTAATAGATAACAGATGATATTGCATAATTTATAATTGTTGTTATTTATAATTTAAATATTGTTATTTTTTAATTAATTTAAATTAATATTAATCACTAATTTTAAACTTTTATATCCCATTCTCTAAAAAATAAAAAATGATTTAGCCATAACACTTCTAATTAATTCCCTATATATGTTTTCCTTCTCGCAATAGTACGAGTAATTTTGTTGGGTGAGGGACAGAGTCGGTACAAGTGAGGAGGTGTGCTTGATCAGATCGGTGTCTGTATCTGTAATGTGAGGTGTTAATTGATATTATCTGATAAGGTGGTTCATCTTGTAAGGATTTTCTGGTATAACGTGAAGCACCCTTATACATGCATTATGAATAAAACCCTTTTTTTCCTATATTAAAAAAAAAAAATTCAACCTAACGATTTGATTCAAATTTATTTTTTTATGATACTTAAATGACTGTACAGTAATACAATTACAATATTTTATAAAATTATAAATTCACAATTATAATATGATATTAAGTGATTAAATATATATAATATCATAAATTAATCTTTAAATAAAAAATAATTATCATAATAAAATATTATAATTATAAACTTAAAATATTATCTTACATTATAATTATATTATTTCCAATTGAATGACATCTCATTTACAGTTTAGAAAAGATAAATAATAATAAGAAGAAAACATGTCCATTTTTTTTTCTCCCATTCCGGGCTGATGGATACACCACCAATCAATTAAGGAATCACATACATCACTATTCAATTAAAATTAAAATCACTGAGAAAACGTGTGAAATATGTTTAATCTATAAATAATAATTGATATATTTTTTAATTTAATATATTTCTCCACATATTTATTAAAAAAATATTATTTTGAAATTCAAATTTATGGCAATAAAAATTTGAACTGCAGAATTTATAATAATTAAACTGATAGATATTAATAATTGTATTAAATTGAAAATTATATTACTCATTTTCCTTAATTTATTAGTTGACCGAAGGCAGGATACAATGTGTTTCCATACTTTTCGTTTGGGGAGCCGCCAGCTGCAGTTATGTTTCTTGCTTGTTTCTATGATCCCGCTCCTATACCAAGTCTTCCATTACCTAACATGGGCATTTATTGTTTGTTTTCCTATTGACTTTTAAAAAAAAAAAACTAATATCAATTAATTAAT